AGCAGGAAAGAACAGGATGCACAGGACAGTCAATAGAAAAAAGGAAAAAAGTCGGAAAGAAGCGTGAAGGATCTTTGGGCTGAAAAGAGGATAACTGCTGTTCTGAAGAAAGGTGGGATACCCTGGGAATGGGTGGAGAGCTCTCTGTTACACAGAATATAGATGTGTGGGGTGTGGCCTTATTTTGATGGCTGGAGTGTAACTTCATCCACTCATTCCTAGAGAAGTACTGCACTTCCACAAATCTCATGTGAACTGGGTGGCTTGAATATGTATGGTGGGCAGTGGCATTAGAATATGAATTTCTTCTCTTTTTTTCTCTTTTTCTAAAGTAACCTTCTGGTTATCAGGACTATGGGAAAAAGTTCCCATCTGGCTACAGAATAAACAGACGAATAGACATGAATTACTGGCCTACGGAGCTCAGTAAGGTGTTCATTCTGAGATCTTTTTCTGTAGAGCTGTCACCAACCTCACTCTAGTAGAGGGGAAAGCAGCAAAGGGCAAGCTTATGCTTCTACACTGAGGGCAAAAAGAAAGTCTTGCGCTCCTGAAGGTTAGATCTCCCATCGGTCCTGAAGGAGCCATAGGACAGGGCAAAAATAGAGAGGGCTCTTCTGGAAGGTCAAGGCCACAGATAGCTTTTGTGAAGTTACAATACAAGTTGTGGGGAAGGGAGCACTCAAACTACATTATAAAATTCCAGTGAATATGTCTGGAAGGCTCTGTCTATTGGCATCAAGAAATACTCCAGTATTTATTTTTCAATTACTGCTCAGCTCTAACATAGGTTAGCAAATTCACCAGAGCACCTTCTCAGTTTCATTTTGGTCTTTATTATTATCTGAAAATTGTATAATTGACCTTCTAAATGCTAGGGTTTAAGAGGTGGGAGTACCCTGAGCAAAGCACCTGCAGGTATTTCACTTGTGACACAACACTTTTCACACCAGGAGTTGTCATATTTTCTTAACACTAATGCATACTGTCAGGATGACTGCCCTCACGGTGATGAGTGTGAGCTGACACGTTTTGCCATTACAGAGGAGTTATGCTCAGGTCTCACTTAAAGAAGAGATAAAGTATGAAAACTACCTCCATCCATATAGAGATTTTAAGATTTATGAGTTCTTACAATAGCCTGCCACAGCCACAACTCTTCACTGTATGCAATACCAAAGACACCATCCATATTTCCTGCTGCTTCTATGCGATAGATATATGTTTATTTTATTAAACAAATTTATTACTACTCACCTCCATTGTCCCTTGTTTACTGAAATATGCTATTAGCATTCTTTCTTAATGTGAATAAAGTATCTCTTTTATGTCTCTCCTATGTAAAACTTTCATGAATGTGAGAGCTGTTGTTTCATGGCACTTAGAGAAACAACTTCCGATGTATTTCAGTATATTAAAATTTGAATAGAGGAGAGGACCATGAAAGAGAGTGTTTTTCCCTGATTTCAGCATGGAAGGCTGCACTAATTCATGATGGCTAAGGCATTCCTTCCCACAGGTCACTGTTGGTTTATCTCCTGCAACAAACTCTAGAGCTGGGGTGAAATACCCTCTTGTGTCCCCTGGAGTAAGGTAAATGCAGATCGTCACTGAATTTAAAGTTTACTCAAGTGAAAACAAGGTAAATGCACAGCAGCAGGAAAAAGCAGACTGACTGAGATTCTTATCCAAGCTCTTTAAGAAAAAGAGAGAGGTGCTACTGAGCAAAGTGGGGAAATATGACTTCTTGAAGCAATGGGGCTTTTAATCCTAGATATCACTTCCACAAGGGCAAGAGAGTGAAAGAAATTTCCAGGTTATTTCAAGAGACTTTAAAATTATTTAAATAATAAGTGAGAAGAGAAATGTAGGAATAGCGTTAAGACGACAGTACTTTCTCGTAGCTCTCAAGGGATTCATCTTATTTCAATTTTTTACTTTTCTGAAAGTAGTTACAATGATCCAAATATGACTGTATATTAAATGAAGATGTAAAGAAGGACATTCTGAGTGTGTGACACACAGCTTACACACCATAGAAGTAGTTAAGTCCGCAACATTGCAGCCAAGAACAATAATATTTGGGATTTAAACTTAATTTAATTTTTAAATTATATTACTTCTGCCTGAAATGTAATATGATCTCAGTGAAGTAATTTACATTCTTGTTCATTGTTCTCACTTGTCTTGTTTGATTCTGTGTATTACTTGTTATATTACCCCTTAGCATCACTGTAGTGCAAATGAACAGTAGGACTGTAGAAAGTGTTGCAAGTCAGAGGTATTCAAAGGCTTCCAGCATATGCCCTGTGATTAACAAAAGCTTCACATAAAGTGTGTTAGCCATCTTCAGGTAAAGCAGCTACTTAATTAACATAATAGAACATACTAGAAATGATTTAATTAGTCTTCAATGACCAGTTAATATCCACAACAAAGCTACCATTGGTCCTTCTGTAGCTAATAAACTTTAGGGCACCTAGAACTTCACAGACATCCCTTTGCTGCAGGCTAGAAACTTGTTTGAACTTAGGGACAGAGATAGACATGACGTCCTGTAGCGCCTGATGTACACATCCTCTCACACTGGGGTCAGCCACTTACAGTTAACAGCTTATGGTGTACAGCTGGTCGCATTCAACAACAGCAGTTTATCTACAACAGTTTGTTAATTCTAAAAATATTAAAAAAAAAATCTGACTTGAAGATCATAATCAGACCTTCAGCTGAAAGAACTGTGATGGTTTCAGATCCACACCAGTTCGAAACCATTCATCAAGTGGAGGTTACCACCCTGCTGGCGAAGCCTGCAGGATGGATTGGGTGCACATTCCTCTCTCATTTTGGGACAAAGGCTGTTTACTCAGTAAAATAACCACCTTGACAAGTGGGAATTTCATGAGTGTGAGTGCTTAAATTACAGTAAACTGATGTTTGTGGGGTGCTAGTGGATTAAACTTCCAAAACCCTGTGCAGGGCATGCATTTATATAACTAAAAATTATCTGTTTGTGCCTGCTGAAAGGCAGGTATACATGCTGTATTTAAAAATGGGAGCCAGTTTGGCCTGCACATACAGTGTGATTCTCTCTACACCAGGGAAGAGTGAGAAAAGCCATTATGATATTGTCACATTTATAATAGTCGGAGTATGAGTCACCTCTAACACTGGTGGGCAAGACTGAGGCAACAAACACAAGAGACTTTAGTATTTTAATGAGAGTAATCTCTGTGTAATGATACTGGCTGTTACCATGTCCAAAGACATTTGAAGTAGGTGAAGAGAAACCTACTGCACCTCTCCTCATTCAGCCAGTATGTGTTCTGAAGGTAAAAGAAAGAATTATTTTTATTAAACATTTTAATTTAAACGTGAACAAGAGAATAAAGCCTTGCTAAATAAGGGTTGTACCCATAATTTCTAAAGAGGAGACCTGTGACAGTAATACCTTGACAAACTATCTGCTATTCTAGCCTATTGCTTAAATGAAGTTTCCAAGGAAAGGTAATGTCAGCAGAACAGAAGATTAAAGCGGTTGCTATTTAAAAAATAAAATAACAGGATACCTGATGTCACCAGTCAAATCTTACAAAGCAAGATTTTTCCTAGAGCCTGGAATTACCAACATAACTTCTTCCTAAAAAGATTTTGAAAGGTCCTCATGTAGCATACCCAAAAATCATTACGAGGGCAGGCAGGAGCTGAGCAGAAACGCTGAGGAAACCAAAATGTAATGGGTACAACTTTCCCCTCTTTCAGGTTAGCAGGTTATTTAGCCTTACCCAAAGGGTTATAAACATGACAAAACCCAGAGACTGACAGCGTTTTACTCTCATTTGCATCTGACAAGGCCATGAAGAATAGAACCCTGTGTGTGTGAGAGACCCTATGGAATGGCATCACTCCATGGGAATTACTCTCTTTTAAACAGGTGCTTTGCAATGCGTAGTGAATTAAAGTAGAATGGAACAATTTCTTGGGAAAAAAAACTCACAGAATTTCTATGTACAGTTAATTGACTTCATATTTTAAGATGTTACAAGCTTACATTGGTGCTTTTCCCACAGTTTAAGCTTTTTTAGGTCCTTTCTCATCTACTTTGACAAATGTCACATTGTACTGGGAAATCTGATTGAATTTGGTTAAAAAACTTTAGAAAATGGTTAGGTACATGTATCTAGACCTGCACATACAGATAACATGGCTGAATACTTCTCATTCCCTAGATAGAAGTACAAAAGGATTAAATGTGTAAGACATTTTAAAGAACATACTGTGAAAACATTAGCAGAGTTTAGTCTACACTGTAGTGTAGGAGAACAATATTAAAGTTCGGGGTAAAATACTCAGTCTTGTTTTCTGAAGGCATTATCCATCTCCCAGACTTCTAATGACTTATCTGAGAACAAGTTAAACCGCTGTGAGAAAAGCTTTCATAATAAAATCTGAATTTGTTTCTCTTTCCTTATATACAACTTGGTTAAAATCACAACCTGTAGAACGAATTCCATGCTATTGCTGTTAGATTTCTTTTAGCTCGCTTATTACCTGAAGTATGTAGTGTAGAAATACCCAGGATACATAATTTTTAATAAGCTTTCTTTCTGACTAAATATGCTAAACTTAATCATTGATTTGATTGCTTACAGATTCGTTACTGGGCTGCTCATGATAAAGAAGCAGCTGCACAGCGGGTACAAGTGAGCAATCAAGAATATTCAACCAAACTGGAAAACCTGAAGCCTAATACTCGCTACCATGTAGATGTTTCTGCCTTCAATAGTGCAGGCTATGGACCTCCCAGTAGAACCATCGACATTATTACTAGGAAAGCACGTAAGTAATTAGGTGCATTAGGTTATGTATAATGTCATGTACATCATTACTGCATGTTGCATTATGTCCATCATGTCTTCAAACTTGGCTTCTCATTAGTATACCAAATGATCTCCCTTTATGTTTGGTTTGAAAAGCTCTACCAAGGCTCTTCTTCCTCTCTTTTGTTGCCATGTACAATGTGGATATCTTACAAAAGGTGGTAAGGAGACACATATTATAGGCTCCTAAGATAATTCAGGCTGGAAGGGACTTGGAAGGTCCAACCTTCTGCTCCAAGCAGGGTCATCTACAAGCTTAGACAGGGTTCTTCAGGGTATTGATCCAATCAGGTCTTGAAAACCTCCAGGGATAGAGACTGCACGACCTCCCTCCCTGGTAAACCTCTTCTGCTCCCTGGCTGTGTTTCCCAGCATCTAGTCTGAGCCTCTTTTAATCAAGCGTGTGCCTTTTGTTACTCATCCTTCTGCCATGCACCATTTTGAAGAGCTTGACTCCATCTTCTTAATAACCACCCTACATGAACAGACAGGTGGTTCTCAGGCCCCCTACAAAGCAGTTTCTTCTCCAGGGTGAACAAGCCCAGCTCTCTCAACCTCTCTTCACAGGGCAAGTGCTCCAGCTCCCACCAGATTGGTGGCCCTCTGCTGAACTCACTCCAGATTACCAGTAGCTTTCTTGTACTGGGGAGGCCTAGAGCGGGACATGATATTCCAAGTGATGAACAATTCAGATCAGCTATTGCTTAAGCAGCTATACCCTGGATTTCTGTTTAATCAATAGCAAGAGGGATTATATTCTGGCTATTAAAAGACCAATTGCCTTTTTCATAAATAGTAGAGGGAGCCAGGATCAGGCAACCTTGAAAAGCGGGTGATCTGAATCACACCCTTGAATTTACATGCCGTAATAGGTTTCTGAGTATAGCTCCTGACTTAATGACGATACCTAGCACTAACATATGCTGAGAAATGTTCAATTAAGAAACACATCCTGTGTATTTAAAACACACATACAGGCTAAAAAGATGTACAACTAATTTGAGAATGTCTGCCAGTAAATAGTGTATTGTGCAAGTTGGACCCGCAGGGTTCATTTGTGTTGAATAAGAAGATTCCATTTTTATAAGCTTATTGTGTGAAATATAACTAATGGTTTCTGCAGTGGGGTACTCTGATTTCTACTGAGTTATATTCTGTAGAAATGCCTTTAAATGGTTAATTAAATATTTAATCTCGATGAATAAATATGACTTAAGCCACATTTCTGGGAGGTTCTGAACATGGTTATAGTTGCATGCCAGCAAACACACATGGTCAGCAACAGTGAAGGGTGATGTTGGCCACTTCCATTCTGGCAACACAGAAAGGCAAACCCACAAAGCAGCCACTGCACAAGCCATCCAGAATTGCCTGGCTGGAGGTGTAGCAGTTCATTCTGGGAAGCAGACTATCCCTTAATCATGTAAAGATCAGACATAATTTCCCTTTTTACATTTTTACATGTCTTAATAAAAACAACATTGAATGGTTATGAAATCTCATTTATGTGCATGTTATACATATGTTGCTTTTCAGCTCCAAGCCAACGTCCAAGAATTATTAGTTCTGTAAGATCTGGTTCAAGGTACATCATCACCTGGGATCATGTGAAGGCAATGTCAAATGAGTCTGCAGTTGAAGGATACAAAGTACGATCTATGAAAATATTTTTTACCTTTGTGTATGCTACCTGAGGTGTATTTTATAGACACTGTTGAATTTTGGTACCAACTCAGACTTAAACATAGTTGCATGCTAAAGATGTAGGTATCATTTTCAGGGATCACAGACATCCAGTAGGCTTGGGGCAACGTCAGTGGACTTAGTCGGTATGACGAGAAGACATTGGGGCACTGAAATTCAGTTGGACAGTGAGCCATTTTATGGAAAACTTTCAATCAGTGACTGCAGCAACCTGATTTCCCATATGATTACATTTATTGTCTATTAGCTAAAAATACTGCTTAAAAAATTGTACACTTTAATAGTTTTTCCTTACACCAGTATGCATTGTTCCAGCTTTCCTTCCCCATCTCCATGGGAGCTACAGTTCCTGGAACATAAGTTCTTTATAAAGTCTGGGAAGGTAGAGGAAGGGAAGGGACACTTAACCTCGTTAAATGCAATTATTGTATACCTAGAGCAAGTGTATGTACTAAATATAGGGTGTATAGAAAGCTTCAAAAATTAATTCCTGTTTAACTTTGCTGCTTGCTTGGCAGTAAGAAAATTAATGTCTTGTTCTACATGTACAAATTTTGCTTGAGAAGTTGAACTGTTTCCTGGGAATTGCTGAAAACATTTCACAGAAATTACTCTGGAAAGAGTGGAGATCTTTTCTAAAGGTCCTACAAGACATATACCATCAAATTTGCAATAGTTTAATAACACTGAGAGTTAATAATAAAATTAATAATCATTTCATTTATGAAAATGGTAATAAATCTTATGTCAGAAGACCCAGATGAGTTCTGAGATTTTTATTTGATGCTCTTTGACACCCTGCATCATTTATCCTCCATCATTTAATTACTTATTTTGAATGTAGGGACTGAAACTATTTTTCAAAAGTTGGCATAATTTTGTGACAGAGAAGCAATGAGGAAATCACCTGTCTAGATTCACCCTACATAAAATTGGAAATAGTAGTAACTGCCACTACCTTTTGATATATATAGGCTTCATATATAAATGAAAACCTAATACTTTTTAATTTACACACTGTATATATGTAGCACGGTGTCCATCGAAATGTATCGTTTCAATAACTATACTTACTGTGACTTTCCTAGGTACTGTACAGACCAGATGGACAACATGAAGGCAAGTTGTTTTCGACTGGAAAGCACACAATAGAGGTCCCAGTCCCCAGTGACGGTGAATATGTTGTTGAGGTGCGAGCACACAGTGAAGGAGGAGATGGAGAAGTAGCTCAAATAAAAATTTCAGGTGAGCAGATAACTTCCTTTCTTCTTTACCACATTCCTTAGAAATCTTGGACTGAATATTTTCCTCTTGCGCACTGTCCAGAGATGAGCACACCATTCCCATCCAAAATTGGAGAGGTAGCTCTTCAGCAGTGACTGCATTGAGAATTAGGGTTTAACTTATAATCTTTCTGATGACTCGTAATGCACGCAGAACACTTCAGCAGCAGTCCAGCTCAATCTCGGAAGCGCTGCCAATCTTCCAAAGATCAGACTGTTTCTACTGGTGCCCCCAGTTAGGCTACCACTTCAGTCGTGTGCTACAAGCATAACTGCATGGTGCCGGCCTCAGGCTGAAGACGTCAACTTGCCATAATCCTATAGTTCCTAGTACCTGTTGTCTCTGTATCTCATTCCTTTGTCAACTGCCACTAAGAGCAGAGAAGGTAACTGAGAAAAGTAGGTGGTCCACAGTGGTCCACAGACCAATTGCTATGGGAGTTCCACTTGTCAGGAGACAAGGGAAGCTGTGACACATACAGATGAATAAGCAATGAGAAATGCTCAGTTTTAGAGTGATCTGGATGGTTGGTAGAGGGGAAGGGATCTTTCATGGATCAGGCTGATTCAACTTCTACTCAGTGTTGGTTCTCCCTCTGAGCTCAGACGTGGTCTGCACATCTCTTTCCTCTCAGTTTTGTAGATTTAAGTAGTGCCTTAGCACACAGTGTATGAAGTGGAGCATATCGAGGAGTTAGAGAAGTGTCTTTGCAAGGTTTAAAGACTTGCATTGTATTCTTGTCTCTTTAATTAAAAAATGAACTTGGGGAATAGTAAGAATTAAACATCAACAGTGTTCTTGTCACACCGTCTGTGCAACCATTATTGTCTCTTTTTAAAAAAGCAGTGCCTATGCTATGTTATCTATGCACTGAGAAGCTGCCCGTTCCTAAAGGAGTGAACCTCCAATCTGCTGCTTTTCAATCATATGTACACTTCATATCACCTAGTGTGAACTCATGGGTATCACCATTTCTGTTTGTATGAAGTATCTATTCCACTCTTGATCAAATGGAATCTAGAGGTGGTCCATCATTTGCCAGATACTTTGTTCTCACAATTAATCACCTGCACTGTTGACATTTTTTTTGTCTAATTTTTAGTCTATATTTATCTGGTTTTGGGGTCTAGCCATTGTTTCCTTTTATAGCCTTTGCCTAGATTAAAGAATCTTTTTGTGCCTGATTTGTTCTCCCCATTAGGAAATGTATATATGTATCAGTCAAGTGACTGATCAAATGCTAAGACTGAGCACCTTGAATTTCTCCGTGATAATATTTTCTTCAGGTCTTAAATAATTTCAACAGCTCTTCTTTCCACCTCTCCAGCTTCTGAGAATTCCTTTAGGACTATATAGGACACTATAACTATATGCACTGTTTCGACTCTGTTGTCTGCAGAGATAGTCTCACCTCCCTACACTTGCAACTCCCAGCATTATTCATGAAAGGCTTTTGTTAGCCATTTATTTCTTTGCACTGGTCTGTAAAATGGTATTCAACTTGTTTGTCCAACACCAGCTCTAAATCCTTCCTGGAATCCTTGCTTACCAGGATACAGTGTCCCATCCTGATCTGTGGCATGCCTCTTTTTTTCCTTGGTGTATAGTTTTGCATGTGGCTATGACGAAGCACAGTTGGTTTGAATGGCTTAAGTTCCCATGCTATCTGGATTTCTGTATGAATTTCTCATTGTCATCGCTCCTTACTACTTTGCCATTTTGATTCATGCACACAGTTCCCTAGCTGTTTACTTCTGGTTTTGATGAAAATGATTGGATTGTGTTTACATTTAGCATATGCTCTGTTAATCATGTCATTGTCTGTGAGAATGTCTTGGGGGTATTAAGTCAACCACTTTACAAAAGCTGTAATACATTGCATTATATTATCATACTCTGGGGAAATCACTTTTAACATATTTTATATGTTGCAAAAAAGTTGAAGCAACTGGTATCTTTAAGACATGTCTTAGGTCATCTTTGTATTATACATATATCATCTATCATCAGTGTGGTGCAAAGACCCTTTAGGTAGCAGCAGATTACTTCCCAAACTGGAAGCAGAACCATGTCAGTACAATGAGCTCAAGTTGATCAGTCTTGCCATTTAGACCTGCCCCAAGCGTGCCCGTACAGAGTTAGCACCTCTGGGAGAGTTAGCACTCTACACAAATGCTAGTTTGTAGAGTTTTGTGCTGCTCCTACTTCCACACTGCACACAAGTTTTCATCCACAACTTCTACCATACCCCAGCTAGACAGAGGACTCTGCCTCCGGTAGCATAGATGAAGGCAGCACCCCCTGGACTCAGTTTAGGAACGGAGATGGAAAAGAAGATGAAAGGCAGGGTAATCTCTTTGCAGTACATAGTATACAGAGAATTGGGCAAGCATTTCAGGCTTTAGGTTTAAGTACAAGAACATCTAGTTCAGGAACCGTGACTGGCCCTGAGGTCTTAACTTAGGTATTAAAAATACAGCACATTTAAACTATCAATAGTTACGTTTGAAAGTCAAATGTAAAAGAAACTAGAAATAGACGTTATTTCCAGCTCAACCCCTTGTCTGAGGGAGAAACTTTCTTTTATGTTTTCCTCATCCTCTTCCTTCTCACAGAAGACTCAGGTACATGCTGGGGAGGGAGGCAGACGTCCTGCTGCAACTTTACTCTCATATAACCACTCAGCTTCCTGTGGGGTACAGTGTTTTTCTTGAGAATGGTATAAAAGAAGTTTACCAAACACAGCCATCTCACATGCATTTCTTTTTAGTGAACATCTTGAAATACAAATGCTTATCATAAAATCACTCACTGTATATATACTGAGCAGCATTTCAGCATACGGCTGTAATTAGTGTAAAATAGTCATGTACTGTTGTATTTTATTGACCAGTGCCTGCTGTACAGTTAGGGGTTTAGGGATATTTTTGAAGCCGATTATAGTAAATTAATGAGCTACACAATTTGAAATTCATCCTTGAGATCCCACAGCCAGCTGAAGGTTGGAACTACTTGTTTACCAAAGGAGTCCACTTCAATGGCTAATAATAGGCTTATCTATTTTCTTTGAAATATATTAAAGGCTGAGATATTTTTTTTTGTCTCTTGCAGGCTTTTTGGATTGCAGTGCTTTGTCATAATGCTAATGTTAATGTAATCAAAGCAATCTTGCAATCAGCAGGAACTAAAACCATATGGCGCTTGGTTCTTTTCTCACTTCACTTGTGTAACTGCACTGGCCTCAGGGCAATTAATTTATGCCAGAGTAAGGAAAAATAGAATCAAGCACTCAAATTTTAGAATTTCATCTAGGGTGGGAGAGAAGGGAGGGTAACCTCTGATTTTAGAAAATATTGTGAAAAAATGAAGATATCATGCACCTTCACCTGCAAATACGAAATCAGGTTAATGTGACATGGACAAAGAATAATTTATGTATTGTATATGCTTATAGCAAGAGAACAAAATTACATCTTCTTTTTGTTCATTGCACACATATATATACACATATGAATTCCATTTGCCAGAGGCATCTTCTGGGATCCTGAAAAAGTATTTACTTTGAAGCATAGCTTTTTCAAAGGAAAATGCAAAATTTTTGCCTGTAGTAACTCATACAAACATTTAAATTATTTTATCTTTTAATTTCTTTTTTATTATTTAAAGGGGACATTAATATTTATTGCACGTTAGTGTATCAAGTAAATCAGGTGATCATTCACTTTTCATGTGGTATAATCAAAATCTTTTGATCATAATTTGAAAATGTCCATCTGTTGCAAAGATGGTTGTAGCAATAAGAAAAGAGGAGAACACAGGTAAAAAACATAAGGAATGCTGATGAAAACAGTCCTCTAACTGGCATGACAGTCCTCTGTTATTGATCTTGGAACTTATTATGCATCTATGACAAAAATGTAGCAAAAATCCTCTACTAAACTAAAAATAGATTTCCGAAAGACATCTCTACAAGAACTGTAATTTTCACAATGCATTTCCCTGTTGTCTCCTGGCTCAAAATCGAAGTAGAAAATACTCAGAATACCCTCTAACCTGGTACATAAATCTGCCTAAAACAACATATTCGATTCTCTGGTATTTCTCTTGATTTTCCTTCATCATCACATTCAACTTTATCACCATTCTAATTTATTTATTGGTACTGCCTCCTTCCAAGCCTTACTTTGAAAACTAAGGTTTGACAATTCATAGAATCACAGAATCTTTGGGTTGGAAGGGACCTTTAAAGGCCATCTAGTCCAACCCCCCTGCAATGAGCAGGGACATCTTCAACTAGATCAGGTTGCTCAGAGCCCCGTCCGACCTGACCTGGAATGTTTCCAGGGATGGGGCATCTACCACCTCTCTGGGCAACCTCTGCCAGTGTTTCACCTCCCTCATGGTGAAAAATGGCTTCCTTACACCTAGTCTAAATTTATTGTCTTTTAGTTTAAAACCATTGCCCCTTGTCGTACTGCAACAGGGCCTGCTAAAAAGTCTGTCCCCATCTTCTTAGAAGCCCCCTTTAAGTACTGGAAGGCCACAGTAAGGTCTCCCCGGAGCCTTCTCTTGCGTTGTAATTCCATGCATTACAACATATTCAGTGCTAAAACAAGCATTTTCTTGAAAAGCCATATTCTCCTTAATCTCAGTTACTTCTCTTTTTCTTGTATTCAACCTCAACAGTAGGACAGACTGCAGAAATATTTTCATATCTAGTTACTTTTTCTTAGTCTGCATTATCCTTTGATAATCCAAATACTGTTTATTTTGTCATTTATGTTTATTTATATGGGAAAGCCTGGATACATTCAAAGTGTGAATACAACAAAATTTCATTTTAGCCGTAAGGCTTGTAACTAAGCTGTGCAGTGGTCGTTGGCAGGCTTTATAGCTAGGAATTGGATGTGTGTGTACATGGATTTAGAACACAACGGAGGATTAAGAGAACAATATTACAA